TTTATAAAATAATAATGTATCATCAGCGAACATAAGATGGGTTAACATAGGACCATTTTTAGCTTATCTTATGCCATGAAAACAGTCATTTACTACTTCTGCTCTGATTTTGGCAGACAGAAGCTCTGATATAATAAGTAACAGATAAGGGGACAAAGGGTCCCATTGTCTTAATCCTCTAGAAGCATTAACTAAGCCACCACTTCTGCCATTTACATTAAAGGAGAATGAGGGAAACTGAATGCAAGCCAAAGTCCACTTAACAAATTGAGCACTGAACCTCATTCTTAACATAATAAGCTGAATAGACTTCCACTCTACTTTATCATAAGCTTTGATCATATCAAGCTTCAAAGCCATGAACTTATGTTGCCCAGATCTGTATCAGTTTAAGAAGTGGAAAATCTCATGGCTAATGATAACATTATCAAGAAGATTACTCCCAGGAAGGAAGGCAGACTTATTATCAGATATACAAACATGTAAGCATTGTCTGAGTCTCAAAGCCAACACTTTTGATATAATTTTGTAAAAGACAGAGCATAGGCTTATTGGTCTGAATTGATGAATGGATACATGATTAGAGCATTTGGGAATTAAAGTGATAAGAGTATGCTTCCAGTCCCTGGGAAGTTGCCCAGACTCTAAGAAACTCATAATTGCTTTGCACAGATCCTGCTTGAGCAATGGCCAAAAGTGCTGATAGAATAGCCCTGTCATCCCATCCTCCCATGGGGCCTTGTCAGGGTGAATACTAAAGAGAGCTTGTCTGATTTCTGATTCCTCAACAGGAGCATTCAGTAAGTTGTTCATGTTTGCAGTGATTTTTTGTTCAATGAGAGGTAAAAGCAAGTGGCACTGAGAAGATCCTTGAGATGTATAGAGATTCTGATAGTAGTCAGTGATAGTCTGTTCAATCTCCCTCTGGCTCTCTACCCATATGTGATCAACCAGAAGTCTGTCAATGGTATTCATCTTCCTCCTCTGGGCCGCATAAGCATGGAAGAATCATGTGTTTTTACTTTTTATCTCCCTCCTTGAACCACAAAGCTCGGGCCTTTTGCTGCCAACAAATCTCTTCAGAAACATTAGCCTCATCCAACTCTTTTTGAATAGAGTCCCATGCATCCCAATTTCTATTGCCCCCCTCTTTCCTCGTATCTTCAAGTTTCATAGACAAATCAGAAATTTTTTCCATATTATCAGAGTTGAAAATTTGCTCCACTGCAAAAGAGCCTATCGAGCTCTTTTGATTTTTTCTTTGAAAATGAACATAAGAGTCCCTTGCTCAGAGTGCTGCCAAGCTTCATTCACCACTTCCTGAACCCCTGCCTTCTTAAGCCATCGTTTATCAAACTGGAATCGCTTTTTATGCTTAGGAGAATCATCAGCGGTATTAATTACCAACTCGCAATGATCAGATGCACTTTTAAAGTAGCTAGTGACTTTGGTGTTTGGGAAGAGCTCCAGCCATTCTAGAGGTACAAAGACTCTATCAAGAGTTTCTTCAACAAATCCTTCTCACGTTCTATTTTTGGCCCAGGTAAATCTCTCAGCCCTCAGAGGAATCTCTTGCACTCCCATTTAAGCCAGAAAAGAGTTAAATCCATCATAGCTGGAACTCGGTCTGCACCTGCCTCCCGTTTTATCCTCTGCTCTGCAAAGATCGTTCCAATCCCCGGCTAATAGCCATGCCTCACCCCATTCATGCTTTTTAAAAAGAAGATGATTCCGCTGTTGCTCTCTCTCTCTCTCTCTCTCTCTCTGTTTTAGAAGGGCTCAGATAGACAAAAATAGCCCAGGCAGTCTTCAATGATTTCTTGTCTTTGAATTGAACAGCTATGAAGAAGTGGTCACTAGCTACCTGTAAAATCTCCACATCATTGTTCCACAACAACAGTAAACCTCCCTTAGTACCTCTAGGTTCCACCAAAGAGAAATTAGAAGAAAAACCCAACTTAGCACAAACAACCGAAGAAGATCTTTTTGAATTTTTTATTTCAGACAAAAAATAAATAATGGGTGGTGGAGCCTTATGGCTTCCTTGATCTGGGGAACTGTAGAGCTCCCCCCCTCCCCCCCAGACCTCTACAGTTCCACACCAGAGCAATCATTGAGGATGTGAGGGTTTAAGGTTGGCCCTCATCACCTTATCACCATCTCTCTTGATCTTGTTTTCTGCCTTACCCCCCTGTTTGCTCTCTAGATTGCATTCTACTATCTCTTCATTATCCTTCTTGTTCCTCTTTATGAGAACTGCCTCTTCCTCTTTATGAGAACTGCCTCCTCCTCCATCGGGGCTTCCCCTATGCTTCTCAACCTCCATTCTCTCTGCTTATTCCTTCTCCAATTTTTCTTGCCCAAGATCGAAGCAGGAAGTGTTCTCTTAGGGGTACCTTGACTGTCCGAATTGAAAAGGATAATTTTAGATGAAGGTGATTCATCTACTTCTCCCCTTAGCACTTGAGAAGGAACAACCTTCACTGGGGTAGTCTCTCTATCTTCACCATCATAAATGATAAGGTTCCTTTCCAAATTGGGAGAGGATGAACTTGAAGCCATTTTAGAAAGAATAGAATCAACCTTATTAGCACTTGCCTCCTCTCTTCTAGAATCAGGTGAGCCTCCAAAAGAGCCATTATTGATATTCTCATTCTCTGCCCTGATGCGGTTAGCTTTATCATCCATTCTCTTTGTACACGTATTTTCAATATGGCCCACTTTCCCACAGTAATAACAGAGATTAACAAGTCGTTCATACTTGAATATCACTGTCACCGCTTCATCTCCTAGTCTAATAGTGGTGCATCTGGGCAAAGCTTCCCGAATATCCACTTTCACTAGCAATTTAATGAGCCTTCCCCCTTGACTTCCCATATTGCACACCAGCACATTGGCCACCGATTTGAAAACATTGCTGATTTTTAGCCCCACCTCCGATGTAGTCCAATTGAGAGGAACGTTATGAACTTGCACCCAAAAACCCAGGTCATTAAAACATTCATCAGAGCTTTTCAACCTGTCCTTCCACTTGGAGAGGATTAAAAACTGGTTTTCGAAAATCCAGTTTGTGCCCATTGCAATTCGTTGTAGATCCTCCTCATGCTCAAAAATAAACTGAAAGAAGTTGACACTTAGCTCCCGAACCTCCATTGGACTCTTCAATCGCCAGATTAGAGTCGTCGCTTTTTTAATCCCTTGCAGATTTGCCCTTTTTTCCCCCACTATCTTGCCAAAGAGGTTTTTTTTGGGCATTCCTCTTTACTGGATTTAACATCCTCCGACCCTAAATCGATGATCCCATCTTCCCTAACAGAAAGAGAAAAAGCCCTCAATCGCTTTGCTACCTCGTCAGGAGAAAGCCCTATGCTTGAATTAGCCATCGAAACCCTAATCGCCCACTAAAAACGGCCCTTGCTGCAACAATAATGCAATGAAAAAGATTTACCAACAGATAGACTAACACGACCAATGTTACATCGAATCACAGAAACAAACAGACTCTCCTACGAGAGAAAGAACTCTCCACTGAGAGAAAGAACACCCCTTGAGAGAGAAAGAATATTGTATATATGGTTTTCAAAAAAAAAAAATAAATAAAATAAAATAAAATAAACAAAGAATAAATGCTTTTCTGAAGTAAACGATCTTTTCAGATTTTGATTGGCCAAGTCTACGATTACTAGTAAACTCCTTCTGTCAATGTCACAAGAGCAAAGATTGACCCTTTCAAAACAGAAAATTAAATTAAAAAGATAGAACAAGATTGATGAATAATACACCCATGTTCTAAGTTTATAAGACCTCATGACATGATCCGTACCGGTGACATTCACCACTATATACTATTCAATGCTATTGACCAAATTAAGAGCCATGGAAAAGTACATGGACCGCATTTATTGATACACACCAACAAGATAACGAAAGCTTGCATAAGAGGAACTCCAGTCCTACTCTATCTCTCCAAAGTTACTCTATTTTAACTCATAAAATGAGTCGTTGCGTCAAAATTCTGCGCTAGATTGAAGTTGTGAACAGTGTTGCGCCATATGTGGCACAACATTGTAGCACAACGCTACATTTTTTTTTGTGTATTATTATTGGTAATTTTTTGTATAATGTGTATTAGTAAATATATTTTTTATGCTAACTAACTTTATGCAATGTATTTTTATGCTAAATAATTTTGTGGTTTTTTTATTGATGTATTAATTTTTATTTTTGTACTTTTTTAATATTAAAATGATACCAAATGAATAAATATTTAACAAAAACAAATATCCACACATATATATATATATATATATATATATCAATTCATTTGAAAATAAAAATAAAAAATATTTTATTATGTGGGTAATAAATATTTATAAAAAATTAAATATTTATATATATATCAATTATTTGAATTAAAAAATGAACAAAAAATAATATATTTGATATAGAGTAAAATGTAGAGATAATGACTGGAGATGATTGTTTAACTCTACTCTAGAGTAGATAAAATCCGCACTAGAGTAGAGTTAAGGGCTGGAGATGGTCTAAGATTCTTAAACAAAAAAAAAGGCAAAAAAAAAAAAAAAACAAAGTAAATTTCTGTCTTTCATCTTTTCTATAACCAAACTGTAATTTCCGTGTAATTTACAGAAAATGTTACAGTCGTTACGGAACTATGTCTGTCCGGATTCGTAACCGTAAATTATTTATCCTACACTAATTTACATGTGAATTTAACAATTAAAACCTCAATGGAATAGTTCGTAACAAAACTGTAGTATTTCCCGTAATTTACATACTTCATACCAGCACAGAGAGGACTATACATACGAAACCGAAAGGAGAATCTACCAAAAAAACAAGCCCCTTCGACTGTGTACAATCCCCGCCACCACCAACTATCCGTCAAAAATACCAAGAAACCGAAGCAGCTACACATGATCTCCCACCCAATATTCCAAAACTAAACAAACATTTTAAAGATGACATAATAATATTAATCAAGAAACCGAACTGGATGTAGTAGAGCTGCTACTCGCCCACGTATCCGTAACCGTTTTTGGTGACGACGCCTGCAAATCCTTGTCCTTGAGCAACACGGACTCGTCCGTCTCCGGCGACTGCGCTACCTTCCCCAAATTACCCGCAACATCCCTCAAGAACTCAACCACCTCGTCCATCGGCGGCCGCAAGTCCTTATCCAGCTGGAGGCACCTGAACGCCAGCTCAGCCACCGCCGTCGTCATCCTCGCTACCTCAGCATCCGTCCCGTACCCGAGCACGGGGTCTATGAGGTCGGCGAACTCACATCTCTGTATCCTGTTTAATGCCATGTTGGCAAGGTTTATCTCGTGCCTGTGCCTCGTGATGTCGACAGCTGGCATGGAGGATATGAGCTCGATCAAGACGACCCCAAAGCTGTAGACGTCGCTCTTATCGGTGAGATGATAGCACTGGTGGTAGTCCGGGTCGACATAGCCGGGCGTCCCCTGTGGGGCAGTGGAGACGTGCGTGACGTCGTTGGGGAAGAGGCGCGAGAGCCCGAAATCGGCCACTTTGACGCGAAAAGAGGCGTCGAGGAGGATGTTGTTGGTTTTCACGTCTCGGTGGATGATGTCGGATTTGTGAAGGTAGGCGAGAGCGGTGGCCGTTTCGAGGGCGATGCGCAAGCGCACGGGCCAAGGAAGGTGGGCCTGTTTCTGCTTCTTGCCGTGGAGATGATCGGCCACTGTGCCGTTGGGAATGTATTCGTATACGAGGAGGAGCTCGCGGCTACGGCGGGAAGTGCAGCCGTATAGGGAGACGAGGTTTTGGTGGCGGAGGGCGGTAAGGATTTTGATCTCGTTCATGAATTGTTCTACACGGCGGTAGTTGTGCTCATAAAGACGCTTTATAGCTACTTCCCTCCCGTCGCGAAGCTTGCCTGTTTTGTTTCGCAACAATTAGCTATTAACCATGGTACACATGCAATCACAACAATTTAGGTACTAACCATGGTACACATACAATCACAACTATTTATAGTTACTAACCATGGTACACATATAATCACAACAATTTCAGTAACTAACCATGGTACACATATAATCACAACAATTTCAGTAACTAACCATGGTACACATATAATCACAACAATTTCAGTAACTAACCATGGTACACATACAATCACAACAATTTAGTTACTATCCATGGAACACATTTAATCACAACAATTTAGTTTACTAACCATGGTACACGGTCCCAAAGCCCCCATCTCCAAGTTCCTTGGACGGATCGAAGTTGCTGGTGGCCTCCTCGAGTTCTGCGTAGGAGAAAATCGGGATGCCAAAGTAGAAGCTCCCGCCGCCCTCCACGTCTGATTTCGAGGATGGGTCGAAAGATAAGCTCCTCGATAGGAGGTAGTCATTGTTCATCTTCTTCTTCCGTTGCCATAGTACATAGGAAGCAACCGCAAAGCTCATAATAAGCAACACCCCTCCTCCAGAAGCTTCACAGTATCATATATTAGCATATTAATCAGCTTTGCATCTGATATATAACAACTCAACAGTGAGGTATATGGTAAATTGCGAGAAAATAGACCGGTTTTGCATTTACTTACCGACTCCTATCACCACCTTTCGTCGTCTATTATCTGCCCCCAATCAACATAAAAACAAAAGGCAGTAAGGACACACCAGTCAGCTTGGGCACAAATTTTATCACAAGCACTAGCAATTTGACATTAACAGAGATATGCAAAACAATAGTTTATGTAAAATACCTCCTCTATCACAGTGGAACTGATTCATGTGATTGGTAAGGCATTTGCCTCCTCCATGGTGACACTCGTAACAATCTTCGGAAACATTCCACTCCACAACGTACTCAAAACTTATCACATCCGTAAGATTATCTGAATTCCTGCCGGACCCAACCGGAACTTGAATGACAGAGCAATCTGAAGGGACATTGTCCGGAACATGATCAGATGGGTACCTATAGTACACTTGCAACGGCGAGCAATTTGTCGAATGGTAATGTTCGAAATTCGGTTCGTAAGAAAGCTGATTTGAGCACAAAAACGCAGTCATATTGGGAGTAACTGAGAATGAAGCCAATGGAGACACAGGCAGGGACAAATTTCTCAGACCAAAACACACGGATGTTCTGAGATACAGCCTCATCAGTTCATCTATTATCAAGAACCTGTTAGCCGACAATCTTCGCATGATAGTATACGGATGGCCATCATCAGCTGCCCTAAAATGAACAACTGGATACGGTGCCGTACAGTTTTCGACCATGAACAAGCCGCAGTCCCTTCGATTTGAAAGGGGGAACTCTAGGGTTCCCAATTCGCCACACTCGAAAGAACTGGGGCAGCTCGAATCGGCTCGATTTACGAAGAGGAGAGGTATGAAAACGAAGATTACAGTCCGGGCAAGCTCCATTGTTGGATTACAATGAACATGTGATGTGAAACAGAGGAATAAAATAGAGTTTTTCGGAAGTTTTGATGTTCATATCAACCCAAAGAAAAGTGAGGTACACGGCAGTTGACTTTGAAAAAATCTGTGTGCAAAGAGACTTTTGGGAAGATTCATGGCAGATGGCGGATAATTTGTATTGTAATGAGCTGTGTAGCCATTTTTGAGTTATTATATATATATATATATATATA